AATGATTAGTCATGTGAGCCATAGTCTAAACTCCTTAAAAGGGGGTTATATAGGGGATTATATAGGGGAGTACTATAGGGGTTATTAAGGGGGATACTAGGAGTTTAGACTATAGCTCATGTAGGGTCTGGGGGTTTAGGGTCAGGCTTTGGTAAGGAACTGCAAGGAATCAGTCGTGTAGGGGTTGGGGGATTTGGCTCTACGTACAGATGAAACGTCAGGGCACTAGCACCGCTTTTGATTTTTGAAGGAAGCTGGTGAAGTCAGGCAGTGGTACACGCAACAGTTTTTCAGCCCCCTTCTTTGCGATGGACCCTCGGTGCAGACGCACGACGCCGACTTCTGGGTACTGGATAAGGGGCAACGGCGGAGGCTGCGTGTTTTCGTCTACCCACTGGCGCGCATTTTCAACGCAGACCTTCTGAACCGGCTGCAGCTGGGGGGCTGGACATCTGGCAGTGAGTGTCACTGAGGAGCGCAGTGGGTAATCTGTCTCGTTTACTTGGGGTCAGGGGCACTTCGGAAGCTTAATAACCCCTAGAACCCATATAGTAACCCCAGTTATCCCCATTATTATATAACCCACTTACTAAGTCCCCCTGACCCTCCAAGTACGGAGTCTGAGATCTGTTTCTTCTAAAACTTAAGGGTAAGTGTTTTCAACCCAGTCAAGCTGGTTAGGTAAGGTGACTATGGGCTGACAGCGTGCACTGAGGCCCGCTGGAACAGCTTGTTCTCGGTGTAACTGCAGCTGATTGGGAAGAAGTTTTGAAGGCTTGTGCTATCACAATCTCTCTAGACGATGTCCTTAATATGTACCTGCAAAGGTGGATTTTGCTGCCACTGCTTGTGCTATAAGAAACCCTCGCTCCCACCGTGCCTGTGAAACAGACGAGGTTAACAAAAACCTGATGTAGGGACCTGAATACTTACCAATAACATGTTGAGGTTTTTTGAGGTACCATACACAATGATTACAAAAGAAACCTAGGACCATAGGGAAGTAGTCAGGTTTCTACAAGACTCTGAAACCTCAAGCCCTGGATTCCCGTGAGCTACAGGTATCGTCAGTTTGCCACAGAGGTCCTCGTGCTGCTAAAATTCCTGGCGGCGCCGGAAGGGGTCCTAACAGAGGATCCCTCAGAAGCCGACCTCTTTGTGGTTGCGGGAGCTCATTTCAGCAATCATTGTAGACTTCAAGTGTACAAGTGCCCAACGATCATGGTATGAGGTTCGGCCACTATGCTTGGTTATTTAGGCTGTTGTGACGGTTCATGCCTGTCTAAACCACATATGATACTGGGGATTCCGTTTATGCCGGCTTGAAAAGCAGTTTAGGTTCCTTACCTGGCAAAGACTGATTGCGCTGAGAGCGGCAATGCAGGGCGTGATCCCTGTTGGGGAAAATGCCGGTGTTCAACCGCAGTGAGCCTGGGCCCCCTAATTCGGTCCCGCAGTTTTCTAAAGTCCGATTGGAAGCAAAGACAGGACCGTTCGTCCTTTTTAACTGAGCTGTGAGAACTTGGCAAGTATGCTCTCCAAACTCAGCTTCTACGCTACTTGCTAAGTCTCTGCCAGCTTCCAAGAGATTTTGGCCTAGGAAATATCTCTTCGAGTCGCTTCCACATTACTCCTGGAGGACCAGAGCTCGTCACCTTTTTCTCGCCCTTGGGTCATTGTTAGCATTCAGGGTATACGGTTCAGGGATCTATGTACTGCTTACCGTAGTCCAAAGTGTAATTGTTCGGAGTGCATCAGAACCCACAGCACAACCGTTTTAAGTCACTGGCGTGAATTGCAAATGTTTCACCCGGTCCTTGGGAGGCTTCCGATCAGCACCTAAGCCCCGATCCCTGAACATTAAAGCATGTTGTCACGATTTCCCAGGCTACCGGGGACATCAAGGACCTTCCCGTGGAGATCCAGGGTCAGCCATTAGTCCTGTCGCTGGGGGCATCCTTCTGTGGAGGCCATATCGTGGCACGCTTGAATGGAGTGCTTGTAGTTCCCCCCACGCTGGCGTGACAACAGCGTGCCTGAACCCTGTAGCCAACAGATCAAACCTGGATGCCTGTATTGCCTTTGCAGGGTTTCCTGTCAGACTTGTCTTCCTGGGCTATTATTACCATGGAGGCTTGCCGATCAGTTTCCCCGCTTACTTTGTTGACGAGGCCTACTTTTCCTGAACCCACTTGGTTTCTGGGTTTCTGCTAAGGACCTTAAGCTCAGTTACCAGAATGGGGAAACCCGATTGTCCTATGTATCTGTATTACGATGCCTAGATCCTTAGCAGCAACCCTGTTTTCCTGGATCTTGTCTTACACTCCGCATACACAGACGGCAGAGCATGACGATTTGACATACATATATATCGTAGGTATGGCAAGGGCACATACTGTGATCACACACACACATATGTAAGGTACATTATGTGCGGGCACACACATACACACACACACACACACATATATATATATATATGTGTGTATATATGCATGTACAAGTATATATGAACAAATAATACACACATATGTGTGTATATATATATATACATATAGTAATGACCCATATTCCCCACCTTCGAGCCCATCAACGTTCGTCTCCTGCGAAGACGACATAGTCCTGGATATCTTGGGCAGGCCATAGAAAGTTTAGGGTTCAGGGTTCAGGGTTGTTGGTGGTGGCGGTGCTAGTGGCAGTGGCGGCGGCGGTGGTGGTGCGGATCTTTGCTGGACTTGGTGACTAGGTGCTGCTACAAATCCTGGTTATTCTTGCGTTTTTTTGGTATATGGTCGTCTGAAGACTCCAAAATAACATTCTGGAGACCACCTAAAAAAGGATTCTAAATTGTTGGAACCCCCCTTACAAGCCCAGGTAGTGCCCAGTCCGAATTTAGATCCAGACTTGCAGCCTAACGGGAAGCTGGAGCAGAAGGAAGCCCTCGGCCGTGCCCCAGCACGGCATGCTCCTTGACTTCAAATTTCCAAAAAAGGTTTGCTTGCGAGTCCCTAGAACTTTGGAAGTTCGTACTGTGAGGTATACAACGGGAAGCCTATCTTTGGAAATGAACACTGTGAGGTTAGCATAGCATGTCCATGGACATTTTGCAACCGGTCCTAGGCTTGGGGGTTGTCTCAACGTGAGAGGACCTTACAGGGTCTGACAAAAAAGCGCTTGTTTTTTCCCATCAGTTGAAAGAGCTTATGGTGGTTTCACAGATTTTTCGTGAGACTGATTGTGCATGAAGTCCGAGTGGGGGGGGGGGGGGGGCGTGTGGGTTTTGGTGGTTGCGACCTACACTTGTCCTGTACATCAGCACCATCATTCCCGATCAGAACAAGACCCAGTGCTTGGGAAGCTGGAAGACGCAAGATACCTGAGGCCTTCAGGTTTAGGGTTTAGGGTTCAGTCCACGAGAACTACCAAAACTGATATCTTCTCATAGTCATAAAGACCATTCCCAGGCCCACAACCGTATACGCAACTCAGGTGTTTGCTTACTGGTTCGGATCAAATGACAAGAAGTGGCGAAGGGCAGTGGTGGGCCAACTTCTGCAGTACCAGCAGCTGCAAGGGACTGAGAAGGCCAGGATGCCGTTACCCCTGCAACCCCAGGTTGGGAGTAATGGCGACGGGGCCTTAAAGCCCAGACCAGACCCTGGATTTATAGACCTTCATTGGGATTTCTCACATAATACGTGAGCCACCGCTACATCGCCCTAAGGTCTGGGAAGCCCGGTACTTGACCCTAAGCCCTATATATCCCTATCCGTAAGGGTCCAAGGACCCAAATAATAGCAAAAAGGGCACAACTACTATAATATGAATGGTGTTTGGGCCCTAAAACCCTATTATTTGGCTTCTTGGACCCCGAGGGTATGCAGGCCCTACCCCTTTGCTCATTGCACTTTGCACCCGGAGCCAATGCTCCGGCACTCCCTGGAGGTTGTAGTCCACGACATCGGCAGCAACTACGAGGCCATCTCTGGGGTAAGTGTAGTCAAGGCCTCCTTAGGAGTTTAGGGTTTAGGGTTTAGGGTCATAGGGTTTAGGGTTTAGGGTGCCATTTTTTAGGAATGAGTATAGGGTAACTCTTGGTTAGGAAGTATATGTCATCTTCAGTATCAGCAAAACCCTAAGGAACTACTCAACATGCCTTTGGTATACCCGAAGTCCTAAACCCTAGACAGATTATGAGTAAAGAAGGCGCGGGATGTTGCTGTGCTTGGGGACTAAGGTTCATCTGAGACTTGGGCTGTTTAAGTTAGGGGGACCCCCAAAGTGTGCAGGGTTTAGGGTTAAGCACAGAAGTAGTGACTAAAAGTGATACGAGTGATTATATTGGGGCCTTAGGGTCCTCTTGAAGTCCGATTATGCCACTGTTACAGGTTGCGTGGGTCCACCTAAGCTATAAGTGCTGACGTGCTGATGAGCGTTCAATGGTCTAGTCGTGTCTTGCATGCATCGGAAAGTCTAGGTGAGGGTATTTATAGTTGAATAATGCACCTTCCGCACCAAAGGGATTTTGCCAGTGTACGTCCACTACGCGTTTGTCCTGGAGTTGGCATTCGGGAACTTCCACTCACCTGTAACCCCAACCTGCAAGACCTTCGCGCTTAACACCTCGTGCTCAGCTCAACACGCTTCAAGGTCAGAACTAACCTTGCCCAGTGCCAAACTGCTGTCTGCCATTGCCTCATCGTGACATCGTGTTGAGGCATGAAATTTGTTGACGCGACTTAGGTTTTTGATGCGATGGACTGTGGTGGGTAATGCGGACGTTGGGCAGTAATTCCGGAAGCCTGCGTACGGAAACTTCCCCTCCGAAAGAGGCCCGTGACATTTGGCAAACGACTGCAGACTCGCCGCAGATGGTCCTGGAGGAGATGATGAGGCCATGGCGGTCCACCCAAACCCTGACCCCTGAATTCAAGCTCTTCAGGGATAAGCAGCATATTGTCCTGAGAGCAAATGGTCCTGGTGTGTCCACGTGCTTAACCATCATACGCTATCACAAAAAGTGAGGCTGTAATGATATCCGGTGCATGTTGTCCATGTATTTTTTTGCAGGAATGTAGGGATAGCATCAAGGAGCATGGGCAATGCAAGGCAAGGCCACCCTAAATTTGCCTGCAGCAGACCTTACTTGGAGGGTCAGGTCGACATAGTAAGTGGGTTAATCATGGGGATCAATAGGGTTACTATATGGGTTTTTGGGGTTATGAACTTACTTACTAAGTCTCTCTGACCCTCCAAGTAAGCTCGAACGATCAGCCATCGCTTTCCCGCAAGCAGGTCAATCTTTTGCCCCGTTGTGCAGGGCGACGTGCCTCACCAGAAGCGCTTATTTGCCAGGGCCCTAGATGGTAGTTTCCTAAACTTCGGGTACCCCAAGAAACTTCGGTTTCATTCGGTTTCAAAGAAGTCTTGTTATTTGACCTAATCTACTTGGAGGGTCAAGGGGACTTAGTAACTTGGTTAATAATAGGGATAGCTAGGTCAAGGGGACTTCGTAACTTGGTTAATAATAGGGATAACTAGGCTTACTATGTGGTTTATAGGGATTATTAGCCTACTTACTAAGTCCCCCTGACCCTCCAAGTCCTATGCCATGAGTCTTAGTCTGGGGTGGATTGCCCCTGACTATGTCAGCAGGTTTCCTCCCAAGCCGATTCGCCTGTCCTGAATGCGGCCAGACACCTAAGCTTGCAATTTAGTGAAAGGGTCCCTACTTCGAGACCATACAGTGATGGCGGTTGCCCAACGTAACAACTCCCTCAACATCCCATAAGCCCTATAGACGTTACTCTCTGCCAGATCATGCCACACCCAAGGCATGTCCAATTAGCGCTCCCCTACCCTGAGCTCAAGGCCCAAATCCCAGACCCTTTCCAGGACGCTGTGCTCACTGGCTGCATTCCAGTAGTGGTGGCTTTTCCTTCGCATGTTCAAGGCCGCCAGGTTTGGGCTTGGGTTGTGGAGTTTTGCGCGTTATCGGGCTCAAGGCTTTGGGGTAAGGGCTGAGAGTTACTTGAGGGCTTACAGGGGATCAAGTCCCGCAGGTCTGGTCAGTTGGTGGCTGCCCCAGGGCCCACCTGCCGAGCGCATGGTCGCGACCTTAGCTGGTCTTGTCGAGCCTGATTCGGCTTCAAAAGGCATCATGGGAATCGTCTATGCATTTGCGTTGGGTCTCAGGAGGTACCGCAGGTTGCAGGCTTACACTGCAGAATGCGAGGTAGTCTCTAGGCTTGAGAGGTTCTATTTCGTTTTGTGGGGGTGAGGTCTCGTAGGGATTAAGGACGGAGGCATTGGGGTTGCGGAGGGGTTCATGGGTGTCGGATGGAGTTGGGATTTTGTGTGTCGGGTCTTGGGAGTTTCTGCAGACTAGGTGTCCTTGTTACGCCAAGATGAAGAAGACCTTTGTTTTTCTAGGAGTCAGTGTTACAGAGAGAATGCAAAGTTTGTACAGTTTTCGGGATTCCTGCGTGACGGACTCCACACATACAGCAGTGCATGAGGAGAAAGTCATATGGCAAGGAGCTTTCTGCAGACCTATACACATGCCCAAGCCCAAAATAGACCCCCCGTCAAGATTAAGCTTACCAACGAACCCTTAATAGTGGACATAGGGGTCCCTCTTGTAATCGTGGGCTAGTCCCAGTGAGGACCCCATGTCCAGCAAATTATGTGGAAATGTGATGACTGTAGCTCATATGGGGTTCCAGGTTCCGTTTTGCTTTGGTGGGGGAGGGTAGATGCGCAGGTGCCGTTTTGGGACTCCATCGACTACCGCAGCTTCGTTGTTGAAATCAGCCAATCTGAGGCTGGATCTCAAGGTTTTGCCACGTGGAGGCTCCTAAGAAAAAGGGTGTCCTTTTTTAGAGGAGTCCTCATCACAAGCATTTTAAGTACATTGGGGCCTATACTTGGGCCACAACATAATGGACACCTCCATACGGTAGTTTCTCACAGCAGCGGTATATTCTTGGGAACCCTAGGAAGCTTTGAGGGGATCACGGGGTTCCTGGTCCTGTCAGGGATGCGCTGGGGGGTTATTTCGATGAATTTCCATATTAGTTTCTAGGCAGGAGTCGGAATTGAAGCCACGATGGAAGCTCTTCTCGAACCTTTTCGCCACTTGTGATCGCAACGTGGCTGGTTCATGCAATAGTCTTCGAAATTCAGAGTGCCGCCGGGAGACCTCAAAGTAGCGAAGCTCTGCAACCTGGACCCGGAATCTGCCACGCGTAGCTTTCAACAGCCACTTCCTCAGCGGCAAGTTGGGGTTTCAGATGTGCTTACCTTGTAGAAAGGCTGACGGGGACCCGAGTTAAACCTTGTTACTTCTACCTGGAGGTCCAGGTTGACCTCGGTTGCGAATAAAGTGGCCCATCGGTGCAGACGACTAAACACCCACATGCAGTTCCATCAGTGACTTGCTGTTACCAACTTATAGCCGAAATCCGAGCTGTCCATGCTTGCTTGCAACAAGGAGGGGTGACGAAGAAGGGAAGCAAGCAAGTGAGACATACCTTTGCTTAAGTCCTCTTGCCTTCCAACCCCCAACCCGCGCGTGTAAGGTATATACAATCAAGCCCGCAACCTATACCCCAAAGCATATTCAAACCCAAGCCTGAGCCTTCTATGCTAATCCCCAATCTCTGAACCCTAAACCCTAAATTCCCCAATCCCTGAACCCTAAACCCTAAATTCCCCAATCTCTGAACCCTAAACCCTAAATTCCCCAATCTCTGAACCCTGAGCCCTAAATTCCCCAATCTCTGAACCCTAAACCCTAAATCCCCCAATCTCTGAACCCTAAGCCCT